GCCTATGTCAGCGTTTTGACTGTGCCCCACGTTGGGGTTCCAGAAATCCCTGGGGATCCCCTGAGCCAAGCCTGTTGAGGCTTTTCCGAGAGCCACGCACAAGAGAAATCGACATATCTGCAGTCGAGCTGCTGCCGGAGGGAACGCTACATAAGAGAGAGCGTGATCCACCGCCGCTTTACTGTGGAAAACTTCCCCCCCTCTTCCTCCGGATCCCGGGGGTCCCGACAGTTGAGAGACTGGCTCCCCGATCCAGGTCTGCCGAGCGGCCCGAAAAACAGATCCCACCCTGAACCCAAAGTGATCCCTACAGTCAGACTTGATTGGAGATGACACGCCAAGGGGCACACTGCCGTAGGAATGTAGGGGGCATGGGTCGCGAGACACAGGACACAAGGGTACTCTTGACTTGGCAGGGTCGACCTACTAATCAGGGCCGACTGTATGTCAGCGTTTTGACTGTGCCCCACGTGGGGTCCCAGAAGTCCCTGGGGGTCCCATGAGCCAAGCCTCATTGAGGCTTCCGAGAGCCACGCGCACTAGAAATCGAAACATCTGCAGTCGAGCTGCTACCAGAAGGAACGCGAAAGAAGGAACGGAACTCCCCTTTGGCCCCAGAAGCGCCAGGGCGCACGAGTAGCGCTAGAGGAACGGCCATAGAACGAGCCCAAGAACAGCGAGCCCCTTTCGAACCCGAACTGGCTCTCGGTTCAACGGCTCGACTCGATCCTCGGCCCTCTGACCCCCATCCCCCATCCTCGGGGGAGGAGCCAGCTGGACTCGCGGGCGTGACTGGCGCCTCCGACGCCCGACGCCTCCCCGGCCCGCTCAGGGCCCCGCAAACGGTGACCTACGACACCGAGGCCTTGGCGCCCCCGACGACAGCAGCAGCCGTGGGGCGAGACCTCCTCCACGGCCTCCGCCTCCTCCCGCCCCCTGGCCTGCGAGGCCCTGGCCTGCGGGGCCCCGACCTCTCCGCCCCCCACCCCAACGCCCGCGCACGTCTCGGTGGACGATGTTCCGCTCGTGCATGTAGCGGATGCCCTGGCAGACCTGGCGGGCAGCGTGCAGCTGCGTCGGACGCACTCTGGGGAGGGCGCACCGCGGCTCACCGGGCACCGCCCTCGCCCGTCGGTCGGAAGAAACAGGCAGCAAAAGGAAGCAGGAAGGCGTTGACAAAAAGGTTGGGCGTCCGCCCGCCCCCCAAAGAGGACGGAAGAGGCGAAGCCACTCGATCATTGAAACAGGAAGACGCTTGAAGTCGATTGGAATACGGGAACCCAAAAATCCCTGCTTTCAACGACCGATGAGTACTCGAGCCCCCACTGACGGTCTGCACCCCTGGACTGCCCGAGAGGGTGCCCCACGGCCAAGTGGCATCGGGCCGAGTCCAAGCCAGAGCTAGCCCACGGGAATCCAGGGCCACTGCTGGGCACAGAGCACATCACGGATGGCCTTTGCGCTGGTGCTGGAGCGTGTTGATGCCTGCGAACCAGGGTGGCAGGCAGGAAGCGAGAGCGCGACATTGGCGAAGGCATGATGGCAACTAGAGAGCTGAAGTGATGTATGACCCGCAAGAACCACACTCGTGGATGATCTACAACATTCACCTCATGGCGCGCAGACCCTGGAGAAACCAAAATCGACCGTCGGGCTCGGCCAACTGACCCGAAAGAGAAAGCTGGCAGAACGCCTGGGAACTTTCACACTTCAGAGCGCTTGTAGACCACCAGCGAGAAAGCACAATCACATTCGAAGAAAAGAAGGTGGAAAGACTGAGTACTCCAGATCCTTCAATAAGCAAGCCCCCCGTGCCAACCTGTCCGACGCCCCTTGCCCGCCCCCCCACGCGCCCCAAATCCACCCCCTCTTGCCCCCCAAACCTCCCCACGCCCCCCGAAGGACAACGGTTTCCCACCCCCCCACGCGATCCACCCCCCCCACGCTTGTTGAAAGTCCTGGAGTAAGCGTACATGTTCGGAGGTCTGCGTGGATGCCTCGGATCGGCGTTGGACACCTCCCGGAGGCGCCGCCAGAGGGGTGGGCCCCCCGGGGCCCGAATATACACTCATAGCCACCGCCTGCCGAGATCCCCGAAGATCGATCCCTGAGGCGGTGGTTATTGAAGGGGCCCCAGGACACACAAATAAATACACAAACAAATAACAATATGTCCCTTATTTTCCCATGTTTTGGGGTGTTTTCGTCTTCCCCCCTACTTCCCATATGTTCCCATATGTTCTGGGGAATCGACGATTATTTGTGTCTGTGTGTGTTTTCCCCCTCCTGAGTTATGGATCAATCCCCAACTCGGACTTATGTCGCCAGCAGTGGATTCAGACACCGCGTGGGTCGATCAGCCTCCTCTTCTACTCTCTTCGGCGCGGTGTCTGGGAGAAGGAGGAGCAAAACCGAGTGGACGAGCGCAGTGATGATGCAACTAACTTTGGGGCGCCGCCCGATACCAGCCTAATGATCGGCTCCTTTTCCGGCCCCTGGGAGGTCCAATGTTTGACAAACCTCACGAGGATCGTGGCCTCAGAGGGGGGAGGGAAATCGAGTACCCCCCACTCTTCTGACCGACCGACTCCAAGATGCCCCCAAGAGGCCCTCCAGGGCACGGCGGCAGGGTCGGGCCTGGAAGAATATCCTCTTGGCCAGCTGGTCGTCCAGGCGGCGGCCGGGGCGCTTCTTAAGGAAGTGGTGCAGGGAGCCGCCCCCGACGAACTCCTGTGGTCGCACACCCCTCGGGTGCAGGACTGCGTGCAGAAGTCGTCGCGGACATCACGCCCCCACCACTAGCAGCGCTCCCGCCGTCGCCAACATCATCACCGTCGTCATCGCCAGCATCACCACCATCACCGTCACCGTAACCATCGTCACCATCGAAACATCCTCACCCCCACCGTCATTATCGTCATCATCCTCGTTCTCGTCATTTCATTCTCGCGCTCGCGTCGCTGTCGTTGTCAGAATCGTCATCACCATCATCGTCATCACCACCATTATCGTTAGCAACATCATGATCATCAGCATCATCGGCAGCAACATCATAATCGCCGTAGTCGATATCATCGCCACCAAGACCGTCATCGGCATCGACGTCATCATCAGGATCATCATGAATCCCATCGTCGTTGTCGTCATCACCTTCGTCAACGCAATGATCAGTAGCGACATTTTCGCCACGCGTCACCCGAACATACATGTTGCAGGGAGCTGGGGAGGGATCCCACCCCGTTCCTTCCGACCCCTCTCGTTGATTAACGAAACAGCCTTCGTGCCACCATCAGGAACGATGAAGAAGGAGCGAAGGGGCCATTCTGGCCAGGAACGGCCGAAAACCAGAGCCGCTCCTGAGCCCGAAGTGGTCCTCATTTCATCGTTTGAGCCTTTATTCTTCACTACCTTCTCAGTCGCGCTGTGACTGAGGTGTAAGTTTAGGTCGGGCATGTCCCCCTACAGGCGGATTTTGGACGAAAATCTAAAATTCACAAGAATACCCCAAAACAGTCAAACAATACTCAACAAGTCGTCCCCTGACTGTGCTCTAAACTATGTTTGAATGTTCCTCCCGTAGAGGGACAGGCCCGACCTAAGTTGAAGTCCGCACCGCCCTCCACGCACGGCGCAGTGGCGTGCACAAGCCGCGCGAGAGCAGCGACGCCGCGCGACGACAGCGAAGCTCTGGGCCGAGGCCCCACCGCAGGGCACGAGCGACGCGCGGCACCCCTGGAAAACTCTGCCGGGGGGGTCGGGCGAGCTCGTCCCGCCTCCTCCGCAGCCGCCTCTCCTCCCCCCCCCGCGCCTCCCTTTCAGGGCTGGACCTAAGCGGTGCTGTTCGTTTCCGTGCTGTGTTCGTTCTCCCTCGTCTTGTCTTCACCCCGCCCTTTGCCGCAACACGAGATCGAAACGAAAACGGCCCACGAAATCGCCAAAGCACCGCTTAGGTCCAGCCCTGCTCCCGTTCATCCTCCCTCCTGCGTGCCCTCCAAGACCGTCCACGGCGAGCGCACAAGCGAACATCTACCTTCACAGACAACGCAAGCGACACCGACCGTAACCAGCAGGCCGCAGACAGCCTGAGAGGGCGCGGCGGCGCAGCAACGACACCACAACCGACCGGACCGACAAGACCGAACGGAACCCACTGCGATACAGCCGAGATCGACAGAACCGCGCACACCCTTGTCTTCGTTCTCCTCCTGCTTCTCCTCGTTCTCATCCTCGCTCCTCGGAATTTTGTGGCATCAACCGTCTTGCCTCGAAACGTCACTGCGGGACACCAGTATGACAATAAAACGAACGAAGAGGTCACATGAGAGAAATGACTTCGTCAAGGTCAACGTGGACTCCGTCCTTAGGGACTCCGTCCTTATCGGGGTGGAGACCTGTCTTAAGCTTCCAGAAACTATGATGCCCACTCGCAGTTGGGGGTTTGCAAGACTTGCTGAAACCCACCACCTGAGCACTACTGGTACAAAAAATAAGAGGCATCCGAACACGGGAACGCAAGCACTGCATGCCCGAGCCTATCAAGAACACCTTGATCCAGTTTAGATCGGCCATAGCACACACTGCCGGGAGGAAGTTTCTCCTCCGAAGCGGTGGAGCCTTTGAGGCAAACCTCATAACGCCAAAGCCGCTCGAGCGCTCACAAGAGTGGCTCAAAACAAAAACGCGTTTGGGTGGCGGCGGAGGAGCAGGAGCAGGGCCTATGAATTCGATGAGAGGCCATTCAAGGTTCAAGGAGAATTGCAACTACCAACATGTTTCGAAAATTCACACCGAGGGCACAGCAGAGGGAGCACAGCATCAGCATCACATCACCACCGCCCTAAAACCCACATTATCGTCGTCCTTCTCCCTCTCTTCTTCCTCATCCGTACCCTCCTGCCCCCCTCTCCCTCCTCCTCCTCCTCCTCCTCCTCCACCTCCTCCTCCTACTCCTCCTCTTCCTCCTCCGCCTCCTCCTCCTGTTCCTCCCCATACACGCTCCCCCCCCCCAACCTCACCCACCCCCTTCTTCTCCTCCTTCTCCTCCTCCTCATCCTCATCCTCTTCCTCCTCCTCCTCCTCCTCCTCGTCCTCCTCCTCCTCTCCTCCTCCTCCGCCTCCTCCTCCTCGTCCTCCTCCTCCTCCTCCTCCTCCCCCAACCCCCCACCCAGGTCCCCCCCTCCTCCTCTTCCTCCTCCTCTCCCTCCTCCTCCTCCTCCTCCTCCTCCTCCTCCTCTCCTCCTCTCTCCTTCTCCTCATCCTCCTCCCCCTCCTCCTCTCCTCGGCCTCCTTCGCCTCCTCCTCCTCCTGCTGCTCCTCCTGCTGCTCCTCCTCGTCCTCCTCCTCCTCCTCCTCCTGCTCCTCCTCCTCTGCATCATCAACATCAGCATCAGCAGTAGCAGCATCATCATCCTCATCATCATCGTCATCCTCCTCCTCCTCCTCATCATCATCATCATCATCATCATCGTCATCATCATCATCAGCATCATCATCCTCATCATCTGCATCATCAGCACCGTCAGCAGCAGCAGCAGCAGCAGCTTCAGCATCGTCACCGTCATCAGCATCATCAGCATCATCGTCATCGTCATTATCATCACCAGCATCGTCAGCGTCATCATCAACATCATCATGATCAGCAGCAGCATCGGCATCACTATCATCAACACCATCAACAGCATCAGCATCAGCATCATCAGCATCATCAGAATCAGCAGCATCAGCATCATCAGCATCATCATCAGCAGCAGCATCATCATAATCAGCATCAGCATGAGCGCAGCATCATCATCAGCAACTTCATCAGCATCAGCATCATCATCAACATCATCAGCATCATCACCAGCAGCATCACCAGCAACATCATCACCATAAACATCATCAACATCAACTCCTCCGTCCACATCCTGTTCATCCATCTCCTTCTCCGCTTCCTCCTCCTCATCCTCTTCATCCTCCTCCTCCTCTCCGTCCTCCTCCTTCTCCATACATGTTCCTTACACAACTCCTCTCTGTCGCACCCCGAGATGTGTCGGAAGAGCGGGCCGTGCGTTTCGCCTGAGACTTGCTCGCCAGTCATGATCCTGAAGCTTGAAACGTGCAGCAGCTTCAAGGATGGAGGGGGCCGTTTTCAAAATGGAACTCTCGCCTTAGCACCGAGCACAGTCGCCTTAAAAGTTTGCAACAGCTTCCAAGATGGAGGGGGGCTTCATAATGAGGCTCTCGCCTCAGCACCGCGCACAGTTGTCGAACAAACGAACATTAGCTTCAACGATAAGTTGAGGGTAGGTTTAAAGACGAGACTCTCGCCGTAGCGCGGCGGATAGTCGCCGCACGAGCTTGCAACAATTATAATCATGAACCAAACGTCGTTTTGAAATCGCCTTCGTTCCGTACACATTCGCTTTACATGTCTGCGAGAAGTATGGAGGGCGGGTCTCGCCTTAGTGCAGGGAAGGTTCGTCTTACAGGGATGGAGGAAGGTTCCTTTTCAAAATGAGTATCTCGCCCTAATGCCCCGCACATTCGTATGAAAAGTTTGCCGCAGTTGCAGGAAGGGACGGCGGTCTCTGTTCAAAGTGGGGCGTTCGATGGAGAATTCTGCACTGTCACGAAAAAGAGCCATGGGCATGTGTAAGAGCTGCATGGATGGAAAACGGATCCTTCGCAAAACTTGGTGTTGACTCGGGACTACTCGAACTATGAAACCAAACATCGGAAATGTGCTACAGTTGCACGGAGGGGAACGGCGGTCCCCGTCCAGAATGGGTCTCCCGCTTGAGGCTGCCCCTCCACGCCCATGACCATAAGCGCAACAATTGTGCAGGAAGGACACGGGTGGGGGCGGCCCTGTTGTTTGAAGACGTGGCTCACGCTGGACACCTCGTGAAACTGCAGGATCATGCCCTTGCAAATATCCTTGTTCCTCTTAGGTTGGGCATGTCCTCCCACAGGCGGAGTTTGGGCGACAACTTACAATTATTCAAACGACTACTCAAGAGTAGTCAAAACATTGTCCCCATCTTATTTGAGCTACTCTTTTTGAATACTCCTCCGCCCGACTTAACCTTTGCGCATTGCTTGCTACTCGCTGGGAGGACGCGCGGCACTTTCTCTCCAAAGCGGGGGGCTCTTGCCGCAGTGGTGGGCCCACGGGCGCTGGACTTTCAAGGGGGCGCGCCCCTTGAAGTAGAAGGGAAGGCCGTGGAGCCTTCTGAGGCGGGGCCCATGGTGCGCGCTTCGGAGGGGAGGGGGCACTGCAGCATCCCTGATGCACCTTAGATTTACTCTGGTCCTCCTCCTCCTCCTCCTCCTCCTCCTCCTCCCCCTCCTCCTCCTCCTCCTCCTCCTCCTCCTCCCCCTCCTCCTCCCACTGATCCATCCTCTCTTCCCTCTCCTCCCTCGCCCTCTCCCCCCACAATGAAGGAAAGCGGCTCCATGACGAGGAAGATCTGCTTGGGAGTGTCCAAGGCCTCGTGGAAGATTACGATGTTTGGATGCCTCGGGCTCGGGCCGAGGACTGGTGCCCGGAGTGAGCGGAGGGTAGCACAAGGGAAGGCGGTGCTGCCGCCGAAGACTGCTGACACCAGACTGCTGACTGCTCAGACCAGGCACGCGAGCTGTTCCTTCCTCCACGCGCGAGGTGGGGATCTGTTCAGATCCACCGCCTGGGGGACCGATGTCTTGGGAGCCCAAAGGGGGCAAATACCATAGCCCCCCGCAATTGCGGATAAGAGTTGAGGGGGCGGCGGGGTCGACGGCAGTCTGCGAATCTATGGAAAAAGAGCCCGCCGCAGGCGCCGAGTTCTTACGAATTGCACCACGAGCCCGCCGCAGGCGCCGCATGTTCCCCCAGGCCGACGACGACAGCAGGCAACAAAAACAGAATCCGCGCCGCGGAGCTCCATCCGCTGGCCTCCTCGGCTGCCTCCGACGAGTGGCCCTGGCCGTCCTTGGCCATCGGGACTGCTGCGGGCGTGGTGTGCCGCACATCCCCCGCGCAAGCGATGTCGCCTGCCCTCTCCTGCGCACCAGTCTGGGTTCCGTTGTCTGACGGCTCCTCGCTCGATCGCTCGCTCGGTCAACCCAGGCTCCAGAATCAAAGGGTCGAGGGTTTCCAAGTCCTTTCCCCCTTTCCCCCTCCTCGCACTCCTCGAGGAAGGGAAGGGGGGGTTCGAGGTGCGTGGGGGAATGATGATGGGGGAGGGGGAGGAGGATCGATAGTTGAGGGTAGATTCTCCTCCTCGTCAACCCTCTCCCCCCTCGCACACTCTTTCGCCATCGAAAATTTGATCATCGAGCCTGGGTGTTCCTCCCAACCTTGATGTTCCTCCTCCTCTCCTCCTCCTCCTCCTCCTCCTCCTCCTCCTCCTCCTCCTCCTCCTCCTCCTCCTCGTCATCATCGTCATCATCACCATCATCAGCAGCATCATCAGCATCATCACTATCCTCATCCCCCTCCTCCTCCCCGATTGGGGCGAGGATGGAGAGGAGTCAAGTACAGGGAAGAGGCGGCCGCCGACTCTGAAATCCTCGGCGTTGGATCCTCTTCCTCCCACCTCCTCGAGGAGGGGGAGCGGGGGAAAGGATGAAAGCGTAGAGCAGAGGCCCTCCCCTCGAACCTCGGTCATCCTCCTCCTCCTTGTTCCTCCCTTTCCCTCCCTCATTGGAGATGGGGACAGGGGGGGAGACGGGAAGAGCCAAACGGAGTAGGAGAAGGGAGGAGGAGGAGGAAGAGGAGGAGGCGGGAGGAGGAAGGGGAGGTGGGAGGAGGAGGAGGAGGAGGAGGAGGAGGAGGAGGAGGAGGAGGAGGAGGAGGAGGTGGGAGGAGGGAGAAGGTGCGCGAGGCCTTGCAACTGAGAGATGGGTTCAAGCAGATTCCCTCGGTGTGAGGGTTTCAGCCCTCTGTGGCGGACTCAATGGTGATTCCCTTTGTGAGAGGGTTTGCACCACGTTTCAATGTGTGGGGAAGGTAAAATAGGGAACCGAGCTCTATACACCGCCGCGTTTTCCTGCCCTGCACTGAAATTTGCCCAGGAGACCGGATCCTGGTGTACACGGGATCCTGGTGTATACCTGCTGCGCTGTTTTCCCCAAGGGAAATGGGGAAACAAGTATACACCATCTGGAATTTCGGCGGAAATTTCGGCGGCAATTTCGGCGGCAATTTCGGCGGCGATTTCGGCGGCGGTTTCGGCGGCAATTTCGGCGGCAATTTCGGCGGCAATTCCAGCGGCCCTTTCGGCGGCTCTTTCGGCGGCCCTTTCGGCGGCAATTTCGGCGGCCCTTTCGACGGCTCTTTCGGCGGCCCTTTCGGCGGCGTTGCTTTTGCCAACTGTCGACAATGGCTGCCGGGAGCTCTCGGCACTCGGCAGCCCCAGCGGGCCCTGAGAGGGCCCTCGAAGGGCCTCGCCAGAAAGCGTCTGCGAAGTAGCTCAAGCCATGCGTGATTTGTACGCGATAGCATGCGCAACGTGCAAAATTAATGCCTCGCATTATGCGTCAGCACGCTCTAAGACGCGCCTGGAAACCACCGCGTGGCAGGGCGCGACTGCACACTGGAACTTTCAAAAAAAAAAAAAAAAAAAAAAAATCACGTTCGTCTGGAATGGATTTATTTCGGCGCGCGCTCCTCTTCGTCTCCAAAGAAAGAGGAGAAAAACCCGAGTCCCAAAACCGTTGTGGTGACCCCGAATCCCCACCGACTCACCGCACGGCGTGGTCACCGCCCCGTTTGGGGGCCCTCGAGACCTCCTACAGGCGGATCTTGGAAGAACAATGAAAAATAGTCAAAGGTAATCGAAAAGGGCCCAGCAATAATGGAAAAATCGTCGCCAGACTATGTTTTTAAACTATTTTTGAACATTCCTCCTGTAGAGGGACCTGCCCGACTTACACTCGTCCGACCCGATCCTGGGCCCGCCCGGGAGCGACCCCCGCCCCTGGCGGCTGCGCCGGAGGCGGAACCCAGAAGAGCCCAGAGTCGAATCGCTACAAGGGCGGCCAGTCCACGAGAAACCTTCCACAAGAAACCCAACCCTGAGACCCCAACACGTCCATCAGTTCTGGGCGTGGGAACGTCACGCTTCCCATGGCAAAACCATCGCAACCCAAGAAACTCAGGGCACCCTGGAGGCACGCAGGATGTTTCTTGGCATGGGTCTCCACTGTGAGTCGGCTCGACGATCGCAACGAATCGGATCGGCGGCCATCGGCAGCCGAGCCGGAAGCAGTCGAGCTGGCTGGTGTCAATCGGCAGGCCAATCAGGCCTGGGTGGAGAAACCGAGCTCCAGATCAGAATTCGGGAGCGGCCAAGAATGGGGGGTGTCCAAGAGGGGGGGGGGGTGCAAATCATGACCAGCGGCACGTGCGCGGCCCAGCGGGGGGGCCAGGGAACGCATTGAAATAAGAAGAGGCGCCACGAGATCTGGGAAAATCTCACGGCCACCGCCATGATATCCCCCCCCCCTAGTCAATCACCTCCCCCTTTGCCGCCCCCGAAGGGTCCCAGGTCGAATCGCATCGGCATCGACCGAGGGAGCATCGACTCGAGCCGAAGAAGCCGCCACGAGCTTTGGGAACCCCTCGGGCTCGGGAGGCGAGCTGGGCCCCCAGGAGGGCCCCCTCCGGCGTCCGCCGGGGCGACGCCGCCGAGAGCGCGGCGGGGGCCCTCGGCCGCAGGCTCGGGATGCCCGCCCGCGGGCCGGGGAGGAGGAGGCCGGAGAAGGGGGCAGAAGGGAGAGGAGGGGAGGGAGGAGGGAGCGGGGGGGGGGGGGACAGGATGATGGGGAGGGGCAGGGGGGCTGGAAGAGGGGGGGGGGGGAGGGGAGCGCAGGATGGGGAGGAGGGGCGGCGGGGCAGGAGCAGCGGGGAGCGGGGGAAGGGGAGGGGAGCGGCAGGCGGCGGGAGGCGGCGGCGGCAGGTGGGCCGGCGGCAGGGGGCGCCCTTTCCTCGCCGGCCCCGCCCCGCGCGCCGACGCCGCCCGCTAGAAGGCGCGAAGATCACGGGCTCGCCGGCGCCCGGCGCGGCAGGAGCGACTGGCACGCCCGACGCTGCGGGGAAGACTCGTATATCCACACCCTCTGCGTCTGGGAGCCTCGGCCCCCCCTCCCCAGGAGGACCCAGAGGCGCCGTGGGCGTGGGCAAAGCTCCATGCATCCACGGCGCCTCGGCCGGCTGGCGCCCCCTTCCCCGAGAGAGTCCGAGACGCAAGGGGTGTGGGCACGGACGCAAGTCTTGCCCGCGCGACACGGGCACGGAGAGGATGGGAACGAGGCCCAACGGCAAGCGTCGTCCAAGACGGCCGGTGGCCGCCGTCGGGTCGACGATTTGCTTCTCGGAGGCCCCCCAGGCGGTGCCAGTCGTAGATCGGAAGATCCGACCAACTCGCCGATACATCGGCGATACACTGGCGACGTCGGGACGGAGAACATCAGACTCTGGCTTCGGCCGCATCGCCGATGTATCGGCGATGCGGCACACTCCTCCGACCCTATCTGCCCTGGCCCCGCTTGAGAGGTGTGGGCTGCCTCAAACGGCGAGAACGTCCGCGGCGACACCGACAGCGAATCTTGTTCAGAACGGTAGGGAACTGCTGTCAGTCCCCGTCCCCCCTCCTCTCCGTAACCGTCTCCATCGCACCGAAGCGAGGACATTGAAAAACGTACCGGCTGGTTGAATCGCCAGGGAGGCTGGCGGACTCTGGACCTCCGGGCCGCCCGCTGCGAGGACAGGACTACTGCGCCGCCATCCTCCCATCCATGATGCAACTTTTTCAATGTTCGAGGGAGATCGGCTCTGACATCCGGCACCGTGGACAAAAAAAGGAAGTAGCCTCGGGGAGCAGCCTCGGGCCATGGGAGTGTCAACCGAATACTCGGGATGAAAAAGTGGCCCTGGGGGACGAGCCGTGACTTCAGGGGATCATGTCTTAGAAAAAAAAGGCAGGCATCGTATGTCTGAGCTTCTGCCCATCCTTCCCCTCCTTCTATCGTCCATCCTCGTTGTCGCCCGAATCATCCTCGTACATGCTTCATCGTACCACCAGTCGCCAACTCCTCCACTCCCTCGTCTTGCTCTGCCTTCTGCACGCCCTCCTCCTCCTCCTCCTCCTCCAACTCCTCATCCTCCTCCTCCTCCACCTCCTCCACCTCCTCCTGTTCCCCCTTCCTCCTTCTACGAACCCCTCAAACTACCACCACCACGACCACCACGACCGTCAACACCACCACCAGCACCACAATCACCACCACAAGTACTTCGACTACGATCACGACTACGACGGCTACTACTACAACTACTACGACTACGACGACTACTACTACTACTACTACTACTACTACTACTACTACTACTACTATTAATACGACTACTACGACTACTACGACTACTACTACTACTACTAATAATACTACTACTACTACTGCTACTACTACTACGACTAAGACTACGACTACTACTACTACTACTACTACTACTACTACTACTACTACTACTACTA